TGGTAATACATCTGCTATTTAGTCATGTATATTCTACGTGCTGTAGAATATATTCACGTGCATGATGATGGGTAGGCTGATTCATAGTAACTTTCCACGCAACCGTATCTGAGCGTAATAGTTATTTATTAACAAGAAGAAATGAGACATGATCTAATATCATTTATTTTTAGCTCATATGACATAGTCAGTTGCAGCTTGTAGAATCGCATGAGCGTGCGTCCGTGCGTCCGGCCGTGCGTCCGGCCGTGCGTCCGTGCGTCAACAGTTGTGCACAAATCTAAACGGCTCGACGTACGGTCACGATATTCGGAACGTGGGGGGGTAATCCGAAAACGAGTTGGGATGTTGAAGCTGGGGGGTCAAAGGTCAAAAGTCAAGAGGTGTAAAGTAAAAGAAGGGGAACATTCCCTCCTAAACTTAAGGTATAGGGAGGAAATGCAGAATTGCGGCACAAATCTAAACGGCTCGACCTAGGCTCGTGATAGTCGGTGTATAGCATTATGGTAGGAAAAGCCACCACTGTGCCGAAATTGGAGGTCACAGGACAAAGGTCAATAGGGCACAGGGCAGATTTTAGACATTTTTTGAGGACATGGTCTGACGGAGCGATTGAAAAACTTTTTTGTTTCAGCTGTGACCTAGCATTTTTATGGCTTTATTGAAAGGACCATGAACTGTACTTTCTGCTGACATGCGAAGAGTAACTGACCGATAACCTTTTGACCCTCAAGAGGAGGTTAAACATGGATTTTGTTTACTGCTTACTGTGAGAAAGAATTTGACTGCCGGTTTGGCTTAGTAGAATCGTATACATGCCTGGATGTATGAGGCTACAATGTCACAGTGAAATTTCAAAAGCTAAATTTGGTTGAGAAGGTTTATGCTCCATAAAATCGTATAATTTCTATGGATTCTGACTGTCAGTGTGTTACATGTAACTTAATATGCCCTGCCAGTGCATGTGGTGGTGATAGTTACGTACGGTGTAGTTTTTGCCTGCGTTAATAAATGGATGAGTGCTTACCTATTCTGTCGTTGCAAATAGTGTTGCTATACTACGTACGATGGGAGCTTCCATTCTTTAATCTTAAGACATTCAAACGTACGCGCCATCTCGTGGCAACTTTCATAACGATCCCAACGAACAGTTTCTTCGAGAAGGTTGCCTAATACCATTCCCAGTGTTCGAAATAAGGGCTATCCGTTTGTCCGTACTTGTCCATTTCCACGGAGGCAAGTAATCTTAGGTAGCTTGTCGCCGAGGACAAAGCCAGCCTGTTTTAGTAGCCATATTTTTATAATGTTTCTACCGATCGCTGGCCGCTGCTTGGAAACCCCGAGTTAAGACATAGTTATAAACATGGTGCTGCGCCGGTGCACCGCGGAATTTATATAGTATAAACCATTTATGTGAAGTTATACTATAAAAACGTTACCGCCTTCTAGCTCACGAAACGGTCTGCTAGGGTTAGAAAGACCATCAGACAATCAGTCTGATAGACAATCCAGACAGTCTGTATAGACAATCAGTATACAGCACTTCGGCCGGCAGCAGGCTACCGCCTCGGAGAAAGAGGCAAAATTGAGAGAGAGAGGAGAGATGAGAGAGCAAGGGAGGAAGAGAGTGAGAGAGGACAGAGGAGAGCAGCGGACCGCCCCGAGAGGGGAAGAGAGAGAGAGGGAGAGAGAGGAGAGGAGAGAGAGAGAGAGAGAGAGAGGGATGGAGAGTGAGAGAGAGAGGGATGAGAGAGGAAGAGAGAGAGGGATAGAGAGAGAGAGAGAGGAGGAAGATAGGAGAAGTGAAGAGTGAGAGGGAGAGATAGACACACGCAGAGCGAGAGAGAGAGAGAGATGAAGAGATAGAGAGAGGAGAGAGAGACGATGCAGATGAGCTGAAGGGAGGAGAGAGAGAGAGGACGAGAGAAAGAGAAGCAAAGACAAAGACAAGAACAGAGAGAGGACAACGAGGGAGATGAGTGTGAGCGAGCGAGAGAGAGAGGCAGAGAGAGAGGCAAGAGAGAGCAGATGTGATCGGAGGCGAGAGGGAGAGGGAAGAGAGAGAGAGAGAAGAGACTGAGAGAGAGAGGATGAGAGAGAGCGCGAAGGAAGAGAGAGCAAGAGCCGAGAAAGCAAAGAGAAGAATGAGAGAGCACAACGAGGTCCGAGAGCGAACGCCGGCAATGGGAAGGTGCGCTCTTGATCTCGTTGCCACGTGATTTTAGCCATCAGAACACTCGCCGCGTCAGTGTGAGCACGCTGTCGCTCTCGGCACTTGTTTAAATAAACTCACCTGACAATTTTATGTACTGGCAGCGTCGTGGGCGCATTGCTGCCAGGGCTCTTATATGGCCCTAATCGCATTTTTAGACTCGCACTTGACATCGTCAAGCTGAGATATTGCCAACTTGGGTCGTCGGGCTCCGTCGTACGTCCGTCGTCGTTCCATCTAACATTTGGCGTCCGGTCAACGATAACTTCAGAAACCGTTGACCACAGTTTAAAATATTGGTATAGTTGTATTGCTATTGCTCCTCATATTGAACGGTCCTATTTGGAGCACGCCAGTCGACGTACTCTCGAGCCACGGCATTTTTTGGCAAACAAATCGGGAATTTCATTAGTGCAGGTCAGGTTCAACGGATTTTGCTCATTTATTTGCCGTATGATGACATAAGGCTAGGGGTTTGATACTTTAAAAAAAAAAAGTTGCAACATTAGGTACGGTTTGGGCAATTATATAGCATATTAATTATAGACGCGCAGAACAAACAGTCTGTCGGTGCTCACACTGTCTGGGTGCGTGTTACAAGAGTTTCATTGACAACTAATATTTAATGCAAATTTGCGTATTTCCTCTGCCACCCTGCCGATAAAACGTCTATATCTAATAATGTAGAGTAAAGTCGTACGGTACATGTGCAGAACGCAGCACTAACCTATTTATTTCGACGCCATCGCTAGAGAAACCATTCAAAGCGGGCGTAGTAGCGCATACTACCGTCAACAAAGTATGGTGATTCATTTTGGTTTATAAATTATTATTGCGATATAACAGCATGGCAACCGTGTGTACCGCCTAGAGAAAAACTTCAAAGAAATAACACGACTTCCATGGCAACTAATTAACCTTGACAAAGTTTGTTTGGCGCGGAAACACCATTGTCACGTAGCGTATATAGCAGCTACGTGATAAGCGTATTCTCTCAATTTACACGTAACACTCGGGCGAGCTCCGCTTTTAGGCAGGTGCCTAAATCTGAATATATAAAAAACGTTAAAGGCGACATTTAGCAGTCGCTCGAATAAGCGTTGTCCGGTGTCCCGAGACAACCACAGAATTTGTGCCGGACAACCTAACCAGGTCTGAGGCATTGTCCGGCGGACAACCAAGAAAAGTTGACGAAAAGACGACTCTTATTTATGTCTTTCTCAGTGGTTCTCCAAGCACACTTAAGCCTGATGGCCGCCACTTAATCTATGGTGTGGGGAAAGCGACGCCATACCAGCGCCCTATTTCCAACACGGTCGTATATGTCACGCTTTTCTGACTTTATGAGAGTGTGAAACTCATTTGGAACCAGCAAACAGCAAGTTCACCCCTACATTTTGGTATTTATCTCCATTATTTTATTTTTGAATGTTTCCGATGCTTTGCCATGCAATTTGCCAAAACAACAACATGCAGTGGGGATTCATGTATGATTCCGCAAGTTAAAAAAAAGGAGAATGTCGTAGTCAGAATGAAGGGCTGTACATGTACTCAAATAGTGTGCAAAAAATTTTTTCGTATACCAGTTTTCTTCCTTTGCGAAATCTTACATTTTCAAATTTTTACTGGGGAGACCCCATTGACCCCCCCGCATGTGTTTTTCACCCCCTCCTTGGAATCCAGACCCCGCCACTGAACAATTAACAATATCTTGGGAGCAGTAGAACCAATGGAACAAAAATGTCCCTTTTCACATGGCCACCCAAAATACGAAAGATGCAGGAAGGTAGAGCGAGGCCGCGGTGTGGAGAGGGGAGGCGGAGGAGCCAGTTAAAAATATTAAGCTCATATCCACTATTTGCGCAGTTTTGCTGTTCTTTGCCACCCTTCGTAAAAAATCTGGCCTACACCACTGCTTTTGGGTGTTCTGAACCAATATCTATTATGTGATTGAAAATAGGAGATTTGGGGATATTTTTTTTGGCGACAACCAGAAATTGTTGCGGACAACCCGATTTGATGCCTGGGTTGGTCCGCAGGACAACCACATTTTTTTTCTTATTTCGAGCACTGTTTAGGTGTAACGCCATCACTCGCCCACATCTCACGACTTTCACATCTCAAACATTATTTTCACATAAAAAAATTACACATATAATTATCAAAGTTATAGTAATGATTCTCCCCCATATATACTCTTCGCTTCTATAATGTACGTCAATGGTTGCTCAATTAAAACTGACTTCTTTTCACTCACTCATTTGTGTCTTTTTTTGTAATTGGCACTTTTATTTTAAATGCCCCTCAAGATGATTGTAGGTTAATCTGAGACTAATCCATCCAATGTCTTATGTGGGCGGCCTAAGCGCGCCCAGTGACTAATATTACAATGTGCTGTCACCTGCGTACTAGTGGCAAAAATATTACAGCACCAAAATAGCATTTTCATTCTGCATAATGATGCTGATATTGACTAATTAATTAATCATATAGGGACCAATAATGCAGGTAGCAGCAGGATACTATCAGTTGTGGTATGTAAAATAGCCACTGTCAGTGTTAGGGTAGTGATGCTCAGGTTTATTTATAAGCACTATTGTGAGCTTTAAAGTATGTGTGTGTGTGCGTGCGTGCGTGCGTGCGTGCGTGCGTGCGTGCGTGCGTGCTGATGTTTGTGTCTGTGGCAGTCCTTTGTGTTCCTTCTTTACCTTATATTTTGTGAGACGAGAGCAGTTGCACTGTAATTTGTAAAAATAAAAAAGTTGTAAAAGTGCTATTATGATTGCAGTCATCTCCAACTTCAAATCTGACAAACAGGAGGCCCTCTTTTTACAAGTTGGCGACTCGGTACATATATCGGAGAGAAATGAAGGTTAGTTGCAGCTAGCTCACTTCAAATGGGATCTATTAGTACCAGAATATCCGTGTGGTAGATGCCTTCATGGTACACCAATAACCGTGGCAGCAATGCATTCTACTGGGATTGAACGAATTGTATGTTGATAAATCGCATGTTATTTTATGTTCAAATGTGTTACTATGTGCTAATTCTTGTTGACATTTTAAGTTTATAGACATTCAGTTTCTGTAAAATTATGTTTCTGGAATTTTATTTTTATGTTGATTGTATATATGTAAATTTTTTTAATACTATTTAGTAGTTGATAAACTGCCCTGATTTCACTTGATTAATCGTTTTTGTATGTGTAATGAGCTTCGTTTAGTAGAATGTAATTTTAACATTGTTGTATGGTGAAGTGGAAACCGAGTGAGGTCTCTTTTGCGAGCCAGCATGCTTGCTTGCTAGTTCACATTCTTCTGGTGTTGCCTTCCAGACTGGTACAGAGGATACAACATGCGTAACAGGACCAAGAAGGGAATCTTCCCAAAGACTCATGTGCATATCAAGGATGGCGTTGTTGTCAACAGGTATGTTGCTAATAACATTACTGCTACATATTCCATGGGATCTCTCAACTCAGGCAACCTTGACATTTTGCTTGTGGTCAATTTTGGGAGGTTCTACTTATGAGAACGCAAAAGCAATGCACTGCTAACTCTAGCACGTTTAGGGATTAAACAGCGGCTTGTTTACAGAATTACAGATAGTTTGTGAGTGAAATATGCGAAACGTTTGTTTTCCACAGAAACTACGAGACGGTGGTGCCAAAGGAATCACCGGTGGTATTGGAAATCACCTCAGTGCTACGTGAATGGGGCACCATCTGGAAACAATTATTTGTTGTGAGTAAAGCTAGGGAAGGGATTCACTCATGTTTTGTACTAATATTGATCCAGTTGTTTCAGGGCCTGCTTAAACTTTGTCCGATTTAAATCCTAAGTATGGAAATGGAATAGGACAGATTTTAAATGATGGTGTATACATACACAGATATTGATCACTGACCGGCAATCGCATGTTTAACACTTCCTGACAACCTACTGCGCTATTGCTACGTAATGTTATACATTGTGTTCATTACTGTAGTAGCAGGCTGGTATGAAGAAAGGTAAAAAATTCTAACTTGTTACAAGATGTAGTTGTCAAGGATGCATTGACGTTTCGAGCAAAAGTGTTCTTGATTCTACACAATGCAGTAGTTTCTAAATATAGATCATGGCTTTGTGATTTCAGACGGGCAGTTCTCACTTTGAGAAGATCCGAATCATGATGAACGAACTGATCAACTTCCGAAGTCAGATCATGTCGGGAACGCTACCTGTGGTATGTGATGCTCAACTTTCTAGCGACTGTCATCATCTAGATTCTAGAAGCAGTTATTTTTACAGATATGTTTATGTTAAGGAGAGAGTGAGAAATGAGAATATGCACCGCATATATGTATATATATTTATATAATTATGTACATACACTGTCATGATGCGGTACAGATGGCTCTACATTGACTCAATTCACACAAGCAGTGTGAGTGTGATATAAATGTGTACAGGGGAGCCTATACCATCTTCACGAAACACAGATCTTCTGTACAACCCTACGAGTGTTCGATAAGCTTATATTATTACCTTATTATTTATTATTTTATTTTATTTATTATTACATTATTATTAGCTTATATTATTACCACTCTATGCCATTGAGCTATAAAAATAGTGACAAACTTTTCGTTCAAATTTTCATTCTCAAGTTCCTAACGAAGAAAATGGAAGGATAAGGGAGCGAGGTTTGTGCTCCAGTAGTGCTACCACTGTTCTTTTGCTCTTGCGTGTAGGATGAGTTGAAGGAGGTGAAGCAGCAGGTGACCGCAGCCATAGACAGGGGCAACCTGATGCTGGAACTTGACCTGGTCGTGCGGGATGAGCAGGGTAATGTCCTGGATCCGGACGAGACTAGCACCATCCAGCTCTTCCGACAGGTAGAGTTACGAAGCTGGTTGCGTGGAACTCATCTGCAGTGATTGTGAACTGTCCGTGGACGGCTAGACGTTTAGCTTAGGAATGTGCTTGAAAATGAAATTGGCGAGAAGGTCTTGTGTAATGTTTTGCCACTAGATATTTGGAAGCATTCTTAGAGTTTGTGTGGTTCTCACGTTTTCAGGTTTCTACTTTAATTACTGTTATAGCCTGCTGGTGTATACTTTAAAATGGCTGGGGGAGGATAATAGTGCTGAACAGGAAATTTCACATAATGTTTTTTCGATAAAGTAGTGGGTCAGGAATAGTATGTACGGTAGTCGTTTGGGTTGTTATGGTATTCCATGCTCCTGATTCGTTGAGAAGCATCACCTGTCACATTGAATAAGCTGGCTGCATCAGCCAAGCACTCAGATTCGTTGACCAATGTGCGACGATCGTTGCGATCGGGTAAGCGTGCTGAGGTTGCTGATTGATTGGCAGCACGAGGAGGCCGTGCAGCGTCTGCTGCAGGTGCGGAGGAGGGACAGCCGGCTGTCGCAGCCGACGATCGCGCGATTCGCAAACAACCTGTTCGTCTCGCCGAAGAACTTTGTCTGCGCGAACGCGAAGAGCGACTGTGAGCTGCTGCTGTCTCTCTACGATGCCACCGAGTGCAAGTTCTTCACGTAAGCAATTCAACGAGACTCCAAGAACGGGGCTAGAGTTATTCGCAGTTATTCGATTGTACAGGAAACTTGCTTTCTTGCAGAAATGTTTGAGTAAGACTAAGAGGGGGAGGGATACGTGCGCAGCGTGGAATTCATGCGCTGGGTACAGGAAGCAAACCATGTAAGGCTGCCACGGAAAGTTATTGCAGTGGACATTGGGCTTATTTTCGAGGCACCTTGCTAAATAAGGAGGTTTGGGGAACAGCCGTGGCAGTGGCAGTTGCTGGAATTGAGCCCTGTCGAAATGTGCTTCTGAATGGTGAAAGAGCTAGCAATGATAAAACTGAAGACGTGTAGACGGTAACTAGGAATGAAGTATACCTACATGACTATCCTGACATGGAGCAGCGTAGTTTGTCCTGGCAGTGTCCGCACTGTTTCTAGTTTTTAATTCTTCATTACTGTGTTGCAGCGAAAGCTACTGGATAAAGTGGGAAGGAATTGGACAGGAACGTGAGACACTGAAAGACTACAGGGCCTTATTCACGGTGGGTGTTTGCATGGCAGTTGTAGACTGAACAGATGAGCTTACTATGTACAATTAAAGATTCTTGAGAGCTTATTATGAGTGAGATGTAAAAAACTGTCATAGCTTGGTCTGGTAACTTGATATATGAGATGTTGGTTCTGGTTTGCTCTATGTAACTGTAAGTAATGACATGTAATCTTAGCCGTACATAATTTGATGTCCCAGTGAACAACAATCAGCGAATTAACTGGCAATCATGCAAAGATATGATTGAAACATGGAATGTATATCAAATTATGGAGGATGTGTTTTTCCATTACAGTAATAACGTAAGTATAATACTTCGGGAGGTTTCCTGAATTAGCATCCAGTCTTACTCTAGGCATAGTGATAGATAATGCGTTCATTAAACTCGGTGAGCACTAGTGAATGAGAAACATGAATGCTATTAGAAAATTATACATGTGCATTTTGCAGAGTTTAGGTAATGTAATGGCAGTATCAATGTTGTAGAACATTTTTCAACATAGATCATATTTGTACTCGGTCTTATTCGCTGTCACACGCTTGCACGATGTCTGAACCTACTTGGACTTTCCTTAAGCTATTTTGAGTGCCCTCAGGTTCTGTACCATTTAATCATATCCGTTACGTTAACCTACACATTTGTCATGCCCAGTGTATAGTATAATGGATGCTCTAAAACCGATAACAGAGTCCTGTGCACTCTGTGTTATTTAACACAGTTTATATGAAGCTACTGATTGAAGCCTAAATGCAAGAATTGTAACAAGTCTAACGACAGTGCACATGTTGTATTTAGGACCTCGGTAACAGGGACCTGAGCCGAGAAAAAGTGATCCTGGTGTGTCAGGTGATCCGGATAGGCAACATGGACTGGAAGGAAACGGATAAACACGAGAAAAAGTGTAAAGACAAACAGAACATACGCCGACCATTCGGCGTGGCAGGCACGTTAAAATTCTTCTTTTGCGTAATGTACTTGCATAACTTGTGCGCGTTTGAATAAAGGAGAACGTGACGTAAAAGGGTGAGAGAAGGTGACAAGGAGTATGTGAGGGAGACATGGTATGATAGAGTGCTCTGAGCAATATCAAGTGTTGTCTAAATCGTATTATTACACTTCATTACATTTTGCCGGCTCTGTTCCTTTAGTGATGGACATCACAGACATCATGGCAGGCAAGATAGAAAGTGACGAAGACAAGCACCACTTCCTGCCCTTTGTCTAGTAAGTGCCTGTTATTTATTCTACCACGAGCAATTTCGCCAACCTTGTGTCCGTCTACGTCATTGGCACTTACACATGTATGCTTTTGCTCGTCTCATAGCTGTGGTGAGCGAGACTTCTTGGAGACCGTCATTAAGAAGGTCATTACTGCCAAGGAGGTCAACCACAAGGGTCAGGGGCTGTGGACTGCTCTCAAGCTGCTTCCAGGAGACTTCAAACAGGTGCGTCAAGAATGTGTTTAGAGTAGCAGCTAGGCAGTTGCTGCTATGCACCTCTAGTCGATTGCATCTTCCCAATGCAATCTTGTGTGCCTTCCTTGTAGCATAGCGGCAACGTCGGTGTTGCAAATGCACGTTATTTTGGGTTAGGGTTAGGGTTCTCATCTTCCCTCGGGCTTCCCGCCTCAATGTAATATTGGATTTGTGCTGTTGGCAGGCAAGAGAAGAGCACCCTCACCTGGTCTCGATCAGCACTTGTCTCGTCAGGAAGATGGGCTTTCCAGAGGTCATCTTGCCTGGTGAGTCTTCGGTCGTGTGTTAGTCTAGCCCGGCGCAGGTCCTGCCAAGACGTGCATGAACAAGCTGTTCCTTTTCTTGATGTGGTCACTGCAAAATCGTCAAGGATACTATCCGAATCGAAACACTAATATATATTCTGGACTGGACCTAAATTAAAATTAATAAAGTTCAATGAATGCTGATGAGTTTACAATGTAATCTTTCTACACTAAAAAATGTGCATGGCAAAGATAATAATGAAACTAGATGCTAATTACAAACCCACAATTACATAGTATGTCTGTATGTGCTCATTTTGTTAATGTTTTTCATGCTGTTATCAAACTACACAGTGCATATGTACAATAACGAACATCATTGCAGGTGATGTGCGCAACGACGTGTACCTAACGTTGCTGCAGGGGGAGTTTGCAAAGGGCAGCAAGACTTCGGACAAGAATGTTGAAGTTACCGTCAGCGTGCGCAGCCACGACGGCAAAGTTTTGCCGGTAGTTATTCCTGATGCCGCGGGTGTGAGATGAGGGGTGAAAAATACGTTATGGGGCTTTCTTACTGGAGCAGTGAACTCTCTATTAGGGTTTTGGTTAGGGTTACATAGAAGTGCCAACGTTTGTAGCATTGTGTAGTTATTCGAGGTGATGGGAATCAAATATCAGGCAGCGTTTATTTGTTCTTTTTCTACTCTGCGGCTACCATGAATAAATGTTATCAGAAGGAAAGGTAAAAAAAAAGTTGCATCTGATGGTGCTAGGCCCCAAGCTCAGTTGGTCTTCGCAGCATAAAACTTCTTCTCTCCCACGTGAAACCTCGCACTGATGTGTGATGATCTTGGCAGAATGTGATCAGTCTGGAGTCGAGTAATGAGATGTCCAGTATGTACCGGTCAGTCGTTTACTACCACGAAGACAAGCCACGATGGAATGAGACGTTCCAGGTAGGTTGCTCGCACGCTTGCTCATTATAGGCATGCTGAAGTCTGCATAGAGCAGTTCTTACAATCTTTTAAGGCGTGATCAGTGATGTATGTATTTATTGATGGGTAAGCTTCTTAAAGCCTGTATTGCGAGATTTTTGCTCAGAAAAACTAAATATAGCTGAATATAGTCTCACCTGACAGTGGAAATATCACTGATTATACCAACATTCAAAACACCAAGATTTTATGCAGCTATAGCATAGACAAATTTATTTGACCACATCATACCAGCAATAAATTTTATCGTGTCCCGACTCTCAAAATCACAAATAGCGTCTTCAAACAAGTGCACATAATTAAAACAAAAGGGCGTGCAATTCTGTTTGGTAAATATTATTGAGTTTTTATGTCAATAATTCAGAGCACTTTCTGTCATTGTCATTCCCGTGTTACTATCTGACTGGCAATCCACAAGCTTCTCTAATAACAGACTTTACGTGGCATTAGTACTACACTGCTGTTACGCTAGTATGAACGTCTGTGTTTACACTCTGATCTGATTTCTACGGTGCGACGGTATGCATTACTGCACCGTGATAGATGTCTCGCGCTACCGCGAGAAAGTCCGAGAGATGGCAACGGTAAACAGAAACAGAACGCAAAATTGTAATCGTGCATGATTTGGTGAATACGAAGGTTCTAAGACATTTTATCATTACTCTAGACAATTGCTGTTACTCAAGCAATAACGGAAGGTATCATGAAAGTGGGGGAAACACTGGAAAATTCTCACAATAGTTACTTTAAGCTTACTAACCATTTTGTGGAAAAACGGCTTTAATTCTCTCTCTTACTGTTTTATCTCGAGTTATTAGTGTAAATGTTAACTCTATATAATCTGATGTTAATCGTATTATTAGCTGGTGTTTGAACTGGATGACAACGTGGTAACGACAGGTGTGTTAATGTGTTGCTAATGCATTTGTGACAGGTGGCAGTACCTATAGAGGAGTTCTACAATGCACACCTGCGGTTTGACTTCAAGCACCGGTCGTCGAGTGAGGTGAAGGACAAGGTGGAGAAACCCTTTGCTCTCTCCTACGTCAAACTCATGCAGGCTAACGGAACAACTCTGCTAGACGGCAACCACGAGCTCCTTGTCTACAAGGTCAGTTACAGACGACAGTGTTTGCTACTTGTCAAATGTACAGTCGGTTTTAAGAGCTGGCACGTGCTTCTCACTTGGCTATAAGGTCAGGTTTATTAGGGGCAGCACTCATTGTTTCATCCGAAAGGGGCACCCACTCCCTGCTTGTTATACTACAGAGTAAGTTCATTACGTGTTACGTAACAGAGTAACTAAAGTACATGTTACACTACAGAGTATGTTATTGGCTACGTTTATTCATTTTGCTTCCAACTAGCTTTACAGTCTGTCACATATCTTGTTCCACAGATCGAGCACAAAAAGTCGATCGACATGCTCAACTACCTCGTGGTTCCGGGAACAAGGCAGGAGGCAGAGCTGAGCGGTAATCAGTATGGCAGCCAGGTGGCGCTCAGTAAGAACTCGAGCGGCCTCACGTACAGTTCGAAAGACTCGTTCACCATCAGCACGACCGTGTGCTCGACCAAGCTCACCCACAACAGTACGTATGCCACACACGCTATCAGCGCCTCTTTCTCTCAATCTCAACTAGCCTCTCGACCCTTCCTTCAGGAAATCCTCTGCGTTTGCTGGCGTGTATCTTGGGATACATATGGATTTTGATGGGAATGGAATGGTATCGTGATTTATAGTGGTTCGCGGCCATTTTTCGGGTTTTTGCCGGTAATGGGACTGTACGTTATGCACGAGTATTTTGCAGCACCTAAGTGTTGCATAGCTAATGAAGTACCCGCGCCACGTGTTCACCTGTTTCTGATGGGTTGGATTTTCAGTTGACTTGCTGGGTCTGCTGAAGTGGCGTGCTAATCCGGACAACCTGAAAAATAACCTGCAGTCTTTGACCAACGTTGACGGAGAGGAGATCGTTAAGGTACTGAAGGAAATATTTAGGTGCCACCTGTGCATAACTATGAGGTATTGTAATATTTCTTTAGTTCTTCCGATATTACTAAATAACGCTTGTAATCACTGCTTGCAATACATATGCAGCATCAAAACAGTAGTGAATTTACTGTACATCCGATATAGTTGGGCATAAAACCCGCGCCACTGTTGGCGTAGGACAATGATTGACATTCATGTGATGCTAGCTATCTACAGGGCTTCATCACTCCTCTGCTTTCCTCTGTTACAGTTCTTACAGGACACACTGGATGCTCTCTTCAACATTCTCATGCACAATTCCGACTCTGACATCTATGATAACCTTGTGTTTGATGCCTTGGTAAGTTTGTGCGTATTGATGTCTTCACTACTTGATTAACAGGCTTGGGGGGGGGGGTAAAATTGCTGGGTAAGGGCTCATTTCGCACCAATACACACCATTAAAACTGATTAAATGATAAAACATGCAAGTTTATATATATAATTATAAGAACCATGGTTATGTTTATGTGTATATATATATAACATAAATATAACCGTGGTTCTTAGTGTCTTAGTGGTTTAACAAGAAATTATATCAAGAAAGAAAAATGACTATCCAAAATCATGGCATTTCAAAACTTCAGGTGTACTAGAAGCACAAATTTAACTTCAAAATTAAATTTTAGTACATTGTGTTCTGTAACTGGAAACTAGCCACAGTTTCCAAAATCCGTGAGTAAATATCACGGAGTACCGGATACACGGTCGACCGCCCAGTGTCGTTCAGAAGGCGAGTGCACTTGCGTTCGCGCTGTTGAACGCGCCTACGGTTAAAATTTGTTGTGAACAACGTTCAACGCCCGAAAGGTGGAATTGAACCACTCCGACGTTAGTCGGCTACAGGTTTGAAGCCTGCACACCACACCAGTGAAGCTCATTCGGGCATATTTTGTAACTACTTCATTTCCTTATATAGACGTTTTTAGCTACCATAATCTATCTGTGGTGTTTAAGCTTGCGATATTGGTTGCATGCACATTTTAAATATTTCGTTCCATTCTTGTTGCTTACACTGTGTCCTGCAGGAATCCGTTCTTAATTCATGATCATGTTTCCTCATGTCATCATGTTTCCTCCTTCATAAATGTTGGTTTTTACTTTTGTATGCAAGTAATACTCAAATTGTTTGTGCTGCCATCTATAATCGTTATGCCTGTAAAAAGATTACAATAGCAGTGTAACAGTTTCTCTGCACTGGATTGAACTGAATGAGATGAACTATTCCTGCAGGGTGCGTGGTACAGTGGTAGTTGAGAAAAAACGTGAAACATAATCTGTCTGTTTGACAGATAGATGTGAATTTTATTTCTACTCCATAATTTGATACCTCTGAAACCACTTCCTCTGCAGAGTTTTCTGAGTGAGAGTGATCTCTTACATCTCTTACAGAGTAATAAGATGTAAGCCCATTTGTAAGATATGTAGATATAGTTTATCATGTGATGTTTTCGATAACAATACCGTACAAGCCCTAGTTCGTCCCTACATATTATTTCATGATAGTAGATCGTTAGCTCCAAAAGCTCTTGGTGCATTAGTATTATGGATTTCTTGTGGAATACCTAGGCAATGCTCCCCACAAGCACTTTTCTGTGGTGCCATGATAATTAAAGATGTGACACTCTAAATAACCTAGCACCATGCAATGAATGTAATGTGTGCCACTCATAATTAAAAATTTAATTAATTGGCAGCACTTTTTTATGCAGTAAATTGAAATTTGATTGGTTTATCCTGATATGGTTTGTTAAATATATGATAGCCACTGAATTCTTATTTTGTGTGCTTTTAGGTATTTGTCATCAGTCTGATATCGGATAGGAAGTACCAGCATTTTAAACCTGTGCTGAATACATACATAACTGAGAACTTCAGTGCAACATTAGCATACAAGTAAGCCATCACCTTGTTGTCTTTACTGTGTGAGTTAATACTCAATAAATACATTAGGATGCTGTAGCGGATAAAATATTTAACATTTATTACAAGAGCCTTAGTTGTGTGGTGTATTTTTATGGCTCATTTTTAAGTTTTATACTGAATTTAGCGATGCGGATATTGAAATATGTGCTGCCTCATTCTTTATGATCAAGAGTAAATAGTCTGAGTTTGGACAAAGTGAAAGGTTGGAATTTTGTTAGTGTGAATTAGTTCAGAATTGCACTATGTTTCATTCTTAGGGATACTGGTTTATTAGAAACACTGCTTCATTAATCACGTTAACCTGTTTACTCACATTAATGGCTGTCATCCTTACCTTTTAGCAAGCTGATGGTTGTTCTGAAGGACTATGTCCAAAATGTTCCGGAGAGACAGAACCTTGACATGCTTCTCAAAGTCATGAAGTCACTCGAATTCATCTTCAAGTTCGTTGTCCGCTCACGTGTGCTGTTTGCAGCGTAAGTGAATTCGTGATTCGTAGATAGGAACTCCCGAATTTTACGTTTCTTGCCCAATCCTCCCTGGCTTAAATGTGTGTACATGAGTTAATGCATTTGCATCTGTATTGTATCTGTGTGTGTTCGTGAGTGTGTGTGTGCATGTGTGCGTGCTTGTGTTTGTGCCTGTGTGTGTGCATGCGTGTGTGTGCGTTCATGAATGTGTAGGTAACACACCATTCTTTTTGCTGCAGACTCAATAATGGCAAGGGGCAAGGGCCATTTCAGGCCATGCTGTCGTCACTTTTCTCCACGATCAGTGCGATGATGATGTACACACAGGACTCAATGCTGACGGTGCAGGTGAGTACAGGTTAATACCTCGTAGCCAAGCTAGTTCAACATCCAGGTTCTTCTACTGAGATATCCAGTTTGATCCCAAACATAGCTAATACCCAAGCGGCAACATTTTCAACTAAGTACAAGCAACGACGCACTAATGGCAGCCTTGTTGTCTCAACTAGTGACTGCCAGCATTGAATTAATTTGATTGTCTTGTAGATAAGTCTAAAAAATATCTACTTCATAACCTATAGTAAGTTTTGTAAAAACTAGCCAGTCTGGCTCTAAAGTTACCAGTCCCTGACTGAGGAATGGGCTGCTATTTCCAACACTGAATTTACACAACACTGGATGTATTAATGGTGTATTTCACATGGTACATTCACATAGTGTATTTCACAGTAGACTAGCACTGCCCTTGTGGAAATCATTGGCTTTGGCTCAGTACTTGCTGCTAACTGGAATACTGTATATGCTATATTTTTCGCGTACAGATATTTTCGCGAATTCCGACTTGACGGACAATTTTGCGAGTGGTTAATTTCGCTGTCGGTGAATTATTAATTATTCTGCATTATTGGGTATGAATTATTCGCGTGTTGTTATTTTCGCGGTCAGGGACGCGTTCGCGAAATTCGCGAAAATTAAACCGCTGCAAAATATACAGCGTATATAGTAGCATAGATCAGCTGTGACGTCACTGGCTGTGTGTGTGCAGGGAGCAGCTATGAAGTACCTTCCAAGCGTGATCCCGGACGTGCTGACCGTCTTCTCTGCCGAGGATCTGAGTCGCCTCCTGGTGGAGCTCATCAACAATGTTCCGCAGGAGCGGCTCAAGCGGCAGAAGATGATGTGTGTCAACGACATCGTACACAGCTCCCTCTTCGCGATTCCGGGTGAGCCAGGTCTTCTTCGGCTTTTTCTCTTCCTTCTCCTCCTCGTCTTCTCCCTCCTCTTCCTCCTGCTTCTGGTCGTCGTCCTGCTCATCCTCCCCATCCTCCTCATCCTTCTTCCCCATCTCCTTCTACTCCTCCCTTTCTTCCTCTTCCTGCTGCTGCTCGTCATTCATACACAATTTTAATTAAATATTTAGGTCGTAGGTTTCGATCAGTCAATATTCCAGGCAAATTAGGTGTCGCGCTCTCACTAGAATAAATCCAGCCGTCGCCGGCTAGCTCTGCTGCGTGTGTTCGAGTCATGAGTCATGCCTCGAGGTGGCGCCACTGTAATCACACGTGCGTGCCGTTGCAGAGTGCCGGGCAATCCTGCTGCCGATGATCTCCTCTCAGCTGCACCACCTGCTCGAGGTGAAGGATGAGCTGGAGACGTGCGTGAAGATACTGGGCGACATTATGGAACTTACCTATGCCAAGGACATTGTGAGTGATCTCGGGATGGTGGTGGCGGAGTGGGGCGCCACTGTGACTCGTTCGCCATTTTGTCTTGTTCTCATCACTGTCGATCGTCCAATCGGCCGTTGTGAATTAGCGCGAATGGGTATTGCGTGTCGTTCATTGCACCAATGCGGGGCGCCACTGATGCGTGCGTGTTTGCAGGGGCCGACACTAGAGGACACCAGCTTTCTGATGCTGCGTCTGCTGCGATCTGTGATACAGACTGTCATCCGTCTTGACAGGACCAATCCGCTGACTGTGAGTTTATTCAGTACATCGTGTATGAGCGACTAGCTGGTACTACCATTTATTCTAACACTTTCCAGGTGGAACGGCAGCAATTCATATGATTACCTAGCTTCCACAAAGGAAGCAGAACTGGTGCAGCTGGCGCTACGATTAGTTCCACACTCTCTAATTAGTTTGACAGAGTGTAACACATTTATATAGAACTTCCTTTTATTGCAAGACTGATATAGAGGGCGCCACTGCATAGCACATGCTCTGCCTTGCTGGTGAGCTTCGTGGCGGTGCTGCTGTCGCTGCTGCGGCAGACGTAGATGGCGCCACCACGTAAAGCTTGCTCTACATTGCAGGCGAGCTTCGTGGCGGTGCTGGTGTCGCTGCTGCGGCAGATGGACGAGTACCACTACAACCAGTACATCACGCACTTCCGCACGACGACAGACCTGCTCGACTTCCTCATGGAGATCCTGCTCGTTTTCCGCGACCTCGTCAGCAAGAACGTCTACGCGGGCGACTGGAACGAGATGATCCTGCTGCAGAACAGGTGAGCTGTTCCCTCACGGGTGCCGCCACCGTTGTTCGGCTTCCGTGCAAGCGCGAGTGGCCGCTGCGCTACCCCCCTTGCATGATTTTATAGTTCCGAGAATGTTTCTTTGTTTCTAAAAATGATTTTATGTTCCAACGAATGGCTCTGTATTCTCCCCTCCCCTCCCCTGAATGATTGTATAATCCCAGGATTATTTCTTCATATTATTCTCCCATGAACATGATAAATGGCGTTGTGGTCTTTCCAACGAACGATTTTATAATTCTGTAAATATTTCTGTGTTCCCATATAAGGTTCTGTATTTCTATGGATGCATTTATACTACAACAAATGGCTCTGTGATTCCACCTAAAATGCCTCCACATTCCCATGAATGTGCTTCCCCTCTGTTGTTTCACGAATGCATCTGTGCGTCTCAACTTGGCGTGTTCGTTTCAGTGTGATACTGAAGGCACTGCGGCATTTCTCCCACACGATACGCGACGTGTTCTCAAACCCGTTTGAGGAGCAGCTGTGGAACAACTTCTTCCACTGTGCGATTTCCTTCCTCACGCAGGACAGCCTCCAGCTGGAAAACTTCTCACAGAACAAGCGGCACAAAATCATATCCAAGTAAGTCTTCTATTAGCTGCAATGTGGTAGAAGCTTTGCTCTTGAGTGCGCAGCGGACATGAGTTGATTGCGGGACGTGGGACGTGGGACGTTTTCTATATCTTTAGCGTGGCTTGATCTTTGTGATTTGTTGATCAGTCACACCCGGCAGATTTAGCTGATCTTGCTTCTTGACACAGAAACGATTGTCACGGTTTTTGTGTGTTTGCAGGTACAAAGATATGCGGAGAGAGACAGGGTTTGAAATCAGGTCGATGTGGTTTAACCTAGGTAGGTGGTCACACTGCGGTTTTTGGATTATATCTGTTCGCAATCATGGTGGCAAAGTCTATAATGAATGAAATTAGCTTGTCTCTCATAATAGTTGTTTAGCATTAAACACTTTTTGCCAGGGTGAGTGAATGTTTAGTAGCAAAGTGTGTTATATGTCATCAGTGCGATAATAAACCATATCGAAAAGTCCCCGCCGCCATATTGAGATCAGATAAGAGGGGGTATAAACTGCCGTTTTATAACATTGTTAGTATAGGACAGGTCTAGGTTTTTGATCAATAATTCTCTTCACTAACGTCGTACTTCAATTTACAGGCGCGTTTCTGTTTACAGAAACATTTATAAATATGATTGTGGTCATTTGGGATATTATGCAATGTTTGTGTTAATGCAAAAACGTAAAACGCATGAGTGTTTACATTAATCATGTACTTTCCTAAGCGCTTCGCGGCCATTTTCTACCCCCTTTTTCTGTGACCTAATTAGCACAGCTGGACTTTCCGATCTCACTTATTCGATAACTATCTTTATTTATGAATTATATTTTTTTAAACACCAAAATTAATGAAATGGCAGAAGCTTCCTTCCCAGATGCGTTGTCATGCCAAAGGGAAGCTGTCATGTTGGTTTCTTGTAACAGGAGCGAACAAGATCCGGTTTGTTCCGGACATGGTCGGCCCTATCCTGGAGATGACGTTGATCCCGGAGATGGAGCTGCGCAAGGCAACGATCCCGATCTTCTTCGACATGATGCAGTGCGAGTTCTACAACGAGATAGAGGGCGCCACGAAGACATTCAAGTACAACTTCAGCGAGGTGAGTGGTGCCCTCTATGTTCGGATTTAATACTTATCTGTGTTGTCAATCATTATCGTGACTGCGTGCGCTCATTTATTGTCGTCTTCCTCATTTGTAAATTTTTGCATTGATGTCTCCTGTATCGGGAAATTTGGCTGGAACCTCAACTTCTAGGTACGTTACCTTGTTGTTGAAGTGCCTTGAACCTTGAAGTGCATTTACTCACAAACCACTTCCATGTACCATTGTACTCATTTATTATATTGACTCCTTATTATATCGTAGATATAAATTATTCTTGCTGCATACTATTTAGTTTAAGATCAATTAATATAAATGAGTTCATTTAATTTCTAATCAATTAATTTATTTAATAACATGTCACCATATTATATCAGTGAAATGATTTTGCTGGTAGTGTGATGTGTCTCGATTGTGGTTTAATTAACAACTCCATGCAGCTATTGCCGTTCACATTCACTGATTGAGATACGATATTACGTTCACACTCTACGTCGTCCGCACTCACACGTTCACTCGCTCACCCTGCCACGTCTCTCCTCCACAGTTTGAACACGAGATGATCACACAGCTGGATGCGCTGATCGAGGGCGGCCGCGGCGACCACCAGTACCGCGAGCTGTTCGAGGCGACGATGTACGAGCTCTGTGCGCAGCACTCGGTGATGCGCGAGCAGGGCACGCGCTTCGTCGGCGTCGTCGCGCGGCTGCTGCAGCGGCTGCTCGAGTATCGCACGATGATCCACGACGAGAAGAAGGAGAACAAGATGAGCTGCACCGTGCGGCTGCTGGTGCGTGTTGTGCGCGGGGAGCCGCGGGGTGGGTGGGTGGTTGAGGGTGGGGGTTCCAAGAGGGCAGCAGGGGGGGAGCGTTGTGAGATGGAAGTACAGGTAGAGTGGGTGAGGTGTTGTGATGACAGCACAATCAATGTATCGCAATGTGTTACATGGCAAGCAATTGACCTATTTTCCTAGCGTGATTGATAGCTGGCTATAGCCAATCATTGTTAGGATAGGATGTTCTAAAGACAATTCTTAGTGACGAAGTGCCACAGAGTCGACCAAAAATAGTAAACCCAATAGAAACTGAGTGAGCTTGATTGTTGGTGATTGGCAATGTGCAGTTGATGTATCTTTACCTGTTGCACTATAGTAAATGGTTATCTGAATAATGAATTTGGTAAATGGTAAATCGATTCACGTGGTCACGTGGGTGTAAAACGATTTTTTTGTGATTAATTATATTTTATAGTTGAATAGCAGCAGCAGCACATTATCTGATGTAAATGTAAATGATCTGAATGGTCGGTCGTGTTGCTGGCGGTGGTTTACATGCGGTGCGACGTGCATGTTTACTGCAGGAGTTCTACGATGAGATCGAGAGGGAGGAGTTGTACATCCGCTACCTGCACAAGCTGTCCGACCTGCACCTCGACTGTGAGAACTACACTGAGGCCGCCTTCACCCTGCAACAACATGCCAATCGTCTCAAGGTACCCCGAGACGACCCGACCCCAGCGGTGACCCCATCCTCACGATGACCAGACCCCTGAGATGACCCCACCCTCACAATGATGTGCCCCCATGATGGCCACACCCTCCTGACGATCCTGCCTTTGTGATGCCTCTTTACCTGACATACCCACCTTCAAGAAGACACCACCCCACTATGCCCCTTCCCCTCCTCACAGCCCCACCCCTACTATAACCCCACACTCAGGGTGAGCCCACTTTGCAGATAACACTACCCTTGTGATGACCTTGCTGTTGCAACAATCTTACCCATACCCTCAGCAGCCTCACCAACAAAGCCACACTATCACGAAACTTAGTACTAGTACTGATCGCAGCTGTAACCATGCATGATGGTGCCAGCTTCGCTGCCTTGACTCTAAACCCATCGACTCTTTATGGCTGATAGCTGATTAAATTTGTATGCTTGCTACTTACCTGCCCCTTCCCAGCTTATAGTTACTACAGTTGGTCAGGTTAAGCACTGTTGGCAGTCCCTTAAATGACAACTTTGATGCTCACAGTGGACTGACGACAAACTCGAAAAGGCACTACAGCATGACCACTACAAGCATGCGACGACGCACTGGAATTTGAAGGACAGGCTTTACTATGACATCATAGAGTACTACACTAAGGGCAAGGTAAGGGAGCAGACTGGTGGTCTCTCAGAAGGATTCAGCGCCAAGAAAGCCACTATTTACTACACATGCTAAAGCTACTACATATATCTTTCGCTCATATAATTTTGTCAAACATGCAATAAAGGACATGGCCTCCTATGACGTGATAGTAAGTTGAACGGTTAAGTGATAGTATGTGTACAGCCTCCTTTCCTGTTCATTGTCATTATGATAGTGACTGTCATGTATGATCATGACATGACAATAGTGCTAGTTGCCACAGTAACGAATGCTGCTTTACTCGTGTATCTGCAGATGTGGGAGAATGCCATCACTTGCTGCAAGTCACTTGTTGCTCATCATGAGAATGTTACCTTCAACTACCAAGAGATTGCCAAGTACATGGTAGGCACAGGAGTGCGATCCCTCTGATATACCCAATGAACTTTTAGAATTAGAAATTTTGTGGCTGTCACATATTTGGTTATAATACAGCTGCATCTAATGTACAAATGCATTCATGGAACTGTTAAATTAATAGTAAATAAACTATTGTGCATTAAATTAAAAGTAATAGAAAAAAATATATATGTTGCTAGAAGTAAAGCAGCTGCTAGAAAAGGCAAAGTATAAAACATGTTAAAGCACATTATAGGTAAATTATGGATTATGGACAGATACAACAATATTCTAGGAGTATGCAGATTACGTAACAGATTATCTATAACCCTCGTACGGATATCTCAAAGCATTTCACAAAGCTCTTTGTTGACTGCTGTTTTCGAGTTGCTTTGTGCAGATTTAAGAATGCTCTGCTGTTTCTCACTACAGAGAACCATGGCAGAACTCTATGAGAACATCTTGACGAAGATCCGACCAGAGCCTGAGTACTTCCGTGTAGGCTACTATGGCTCAGGATTTCCCTCATTTCTCAAGGTACGGAGTTGGTTAAAGTTGATGGGGTAGAGTGAGGAAGAGAAATGAACTCGGGGGAGCTTATGTAATAGTAGAAAGTGTGTGTGTGTGCGTGCGTGCGTGCGGCGTGCGAGAGAGTGAAAAAAAAATCATGCATGTGTCAGAGGGATAGAGTGATGTGGGTAAAGAGATGGTAGAAAAAAGATGATAGCGCCATCTCTTGTCACAAATTATCCCTTGTAGCGAATACAATTTCTTTAATCCTCCTCCTACTTCAACCCCCCATGGATTTGACTGTTTGTTGCGTTGTAGAACCGCATCTTTATCTACCGCGGGAAGGAGTATGAGCGGCTGAGCGACTTCATCAGTCGGATCCAGAACCAATTTCCGAGCGCACAACTGATGAACAGACTGGCACCACCTGAAGAGGAGATACTGAACTCCCCAGCTCAGTGTATCCTTGTCACATTGGGTTGTGGTGCCTGAGTGTGTGTATGCATCTTTTTATGTATATGGTTATATCTATTCGTGTGTGTGCGCATAAGTGCCCGCATATGTGTGCACATGTGTGTGCATGTGCATGTGTTTGTCTATAATGATATCAGTGCTAGTTGCACGCACATAATTTATATTTAGCCCTGCTTTGCCTCCTTGATCGCTCTCCAGATTTACAGATAAACCACGTCGATCCGATATACGTGGAAAAGGCAACGTTTGCTGGCAAACGTATTGACGATCAAATACTTAGGTAATATTTAGTGGTTCACGGTACTGCTCTGTGTTAATGTATGAGTTTTAATTCAACGCTGTCTGTTCCTCTGTAAGTAGTAACTCACTTGCGTGCCTTTACGTATATAACAACCAATAAATTTATATTTTAAACTCATTGCTATACAGTAATCGTCCTCCTATTGCAGGTTTGTCAATGGTGGAATTCAGTTATTGTACTTGTATACTATTTCCGGTATTGAGGTAGGGGGAGGGGTTAATAGTATTGTTCGACTCATCGCTACTTTGCTTACAATTCGAGCCGTGACAAGATTTTTCTAGTCTGACATGCGCATCTCCTCTTGGTACTTGTTTTTTGAGTTGTGGGGGGGTTATTTAGTCGACCTTAGTCGTAGTGCTACTATGTGGGTTGGTGTTGTTGGTGGAATGCCAGCAAATGTTAAAGTGAAAGTTAACTTGTACGTGCTGTAAACGTTGATGTGCGATTTCTGTGTTTTTAAAGGACTGAAAATGTCATAGCACCACCCATCGCATACCTTCCTTGTTCCCCTAACCGCATATTTACCTTCGTATTCACCGTTCACGGTTTCACGGCGTGTGGCATTTATCAGCGATGCCACCTCCATGATAGGGGGAATTACTGTACGTCTGTGGTTAAGCACTGCAATCAACTACTGCTGATCTGTAGGTACTACAAGGTGAATGAGGTTCAGAAGTTTACTTACTCCCGACCATTCAAGAAGGGTGACAGTGATGAAAAGAACGAGTTTGCTGTAAGTTTACAAAATTAACCTTAAGCCCATCGCAATGTCGTATTACTTCGGCTAGCGTAGGTGCACACGTCCGTCTAGTGTAGTATTTGCATTACTTGTTTCTATATTGAGAAATTTTCGTGTTTGAAACTCGTGCGATAGATTACGTACAATGAGCCCGTGCTTTAACCTAATGACTTATGCGGTTGTGAAAAATTACGCTATGACGCAATAACTGTGCACCTATGTCATTGCAAGTTCACACAATAAGGGGCATTGATTTCCTCAGTGCACTCTAGTAAGGTGAAGGTTAGTGCACAGTTACCGGTTAGGGGTCAATTGTAGTATAGACTGATATATCCTAACAGAATTTGCAGTGACTAATGGGGCACTTAACCGTTGTACTGGATAATAACCAAACGTTGAACTCGCTATCACCATAGATGTGAAGTGTACTATACACAATTATATATTCACAAACAAATATTAGAAAAATATAATAAAGAAATCCTTTGGCACTTGCAGGCTTTCAAAGTAGCAAAATACATGTCTTGCTTTTACTTCGACAACACATTATTGACCGTATAAAATCACACTAGATGTCAGCACTGTGTAATTTACTAAGAAACTACAACCCTTTTATGTTCCACATGCCCTTGTTTGCATATTTACTCATAGGCTCGGCATTTTTGTAGAACGAGTGCTTTTATTGAACGTTGCAAATAGAAAGTGCTTAAAAGTAATTATTATGTGTCTTCCAATCGTTAAAAGGTTTACAATTGCTGACTGTTAAGTTAAATTGTAATTAAGTCAGGACTTGGTCCAAAATTATTGTATTCACTTGTTACTCATGCATAATTTTATTCACACAGTTTTTATTCAATAACACCTGCTTTGTTTGTGATGACGTTTCAGAACCTGTGGACGGAGAAAACAGTGTTAGTCACCGCCTATCCATACCCCGGTATCCTACAGTGGTTCCCAGTCGTCGAAACCGAGCGTGTAAGTTGATATCTTGTGGTAGTCATTATAGGTAACTCGGTGAACCGTATTCATTTTTTCTCGGTTAGTAGGAACGAGTGAACGCAAGATCCCGCTAGTATTGAGGGTTCTGATACTGATAAGCATTACAATTGACAACAAATTCTGACACGGGAAACCAAAACACGGGCTGTGCTTGGAAAGTCTGAGCAGAGGATTTGTGCATTTCAGCACTAAGACAGCACATACAGACACACAATGAGATTAGATAAAGTGTAGATAGACGGCTGGCATTAGTTAGGCATGAAAATCAGCCACGATAAGTAGATATCAGTTCATTACAATAGAACAACCGTTTGGATGTAAATGCATGATGACAGGCAGGTAAGATGGCAATCGTACTCTGACCCCTCACCTCTAGCTCTGTTTACAGCTGTCTGATGCCGTTTACCCACCAATATGTTCTTCCTGCAGTTAATGATTAGTACCTGCACCGCCTTTACTCGTGTACAGGTTGATATAATAAAACTACTACACTAAAACAACTAGTCAAGTGATGTATTTGGATTCCAGTGGCATGAGAAAATACATTTTAGAGTGTCGGGTACAAGGCGTTCGACGAGTATTACAGTCACAGATGCGTGCGCACCATTATTCCTCTTCCATTCAGCATTTATCCTGGGGTTGTCGTGTATAAATCTCCTAGCACTCTTGCTAACACTCGTGAGTGAGCTCTTTCTCTCTCAGCGCACGTAAGTAGGACGACCGCTGTTGCTGCGGTTACGCAGGTTGTTTACGCGTCTGGCCGCCGTCACATCTGAGCTGACCGCCCCTGGGCACTGCTAGTGTAGCAGCTGACCCGTGCTCCTAGCCCAGTGTGAGCGAGCTGTGCGTGCGGTAAGATGCAGACGGGGCGCGGGGTCACGCATAAGTCGGCTAGACTGGCCACGAGCCGGCCATTACTCGCGGTCAGCGAGTGGCTGTTTCTTACCGTGGGGTTACGCAGGGGTTAGCCGCAGTCTCCGCCACCGCCGCCTCCACCCCCCCCCCCGGGTGCTGCAGATACGGCTGAGAAGCACTGGTTTCCTCGCGCAGTCGTGTGAGCGCCGACGATGAGAGACTTAACGGGGAAATGCAGCCGCCCTGATGATTATATGCCAATCTGTGGTCTTTACAGTGGGGCTTACGTGTATAGGTAGGGAAAAGCAAGGTGGGTCTGTAACTCGTCGGCCTGCACTGTTTATGTGCGCCCGGGGCGCGTTTCTGCCTAGTTATGGATAGTTATGACGGGTTACCTAAACAGGAATGTACGGTAGTTAGTTAATACAAGTTGCAAAATCTGCCGGCTCTTAACGAGACATGCACCTGAGTGTTATGACCGCATGTCTTTATGTGTTTAACCTCCTAATGCAGCAGTTAGATCAGCTCACATACTACGTAGTAAGCATTGGAAAGCAGGCTCAGCGCTTAGGGGTGGTGAGAGTGTGCACGTGACATGCTTGTGTACGTAGAACGTGTGTTTCGTTAGAACGAACCCTGTGTTACAACTCTCAGCATCCATCCATCAAATGTGAGGACTGAATGACAAACAGACCGAAAGATGCAGTCAAAAACAGAGAAATAGATGAAGGGTGTATATAGTATATAAGTAAAGAGAAAGAATACAAGAGAGTGAATGAGGGGAAAGATATGAAGAGAAAGAGGGGATGGGGACGGAAAGACAGAACGAGAGGGGAGGGAGTAAGGGAGGCAGAGGTCGAGGAAAGGATGAGGGAGAGAGAAGGGAGCAAGCTGAACGAAAGAGAGAGAGAGAGAGAGGCGGTGGGGGAGAGATAAAGAGATAGATAGCTAGATAGATAGAGAGCGAGAGAGAGAGAGAGATAGCTAGATAGATAGAGAGCGAGAGAGACAGAGATAGAGAGAGCGAAAGAAATAGTGAGAAGAGAGAGAAGAGAGAAGAGAAGTAGGAGCGAGAGATGAGAGAGAGAGAGAGAGAGAGTCGAAGGAGAGAAGAGACGAGAGAGGAGAGAGAGCAGAGAAGGGGGAGCGGGGGGGGAGAGAGTAAGAGAGATGAGAGAAGGGGGGGGGAGAAGAGAAAGATATAGCGCCCTAGACACAGCTACGCGCGCGTAAAAACGCGTACTGCCCACGCCCATGCACGCTGCCGCCGCCGCCGCCGCCGCCGCCGCTTCGCTACACGCCAGTGTTACTCATAGTTATTTCAATCTTTTCGCTAAACGCTCGCTTCGGGCGCTATCCGAAAATAGACGCAAAATGCAAAGGTAGAGATTCGGTCAGGTCGCGACTGAAGTTTCAGCCTCGCGTATGAAAAGCAGCTCTCGAAGAAAGGCGCGCTAGCGAAGAACGCCAGCCTCGTCCTGCTGAGAACTGGTTGCTCGTTTTAGTATGCGCACAGCGGCTTATAGGGGCTAGAGACGGGCTGCTATTTTGGTGTTTTGGTGCACTTGTAAAGAAATCCCCAGAAATTGAAAGAGCTTTGCAGCAGAGCGGCGGTGCGCGTCGCTCGCTCGCTTCGCGCCGATGCGCCCGCTGCCCGCTTCGTGTCGGCTGGCTGCTGTGCTAGTCTGTGTGCGTGCGAGCGTGCACGCGCGCGGGATGTAAGGTCTAGAACCGCGTGCGGGTGAGAGTCGCGGCGGTACCATGAGGCTAGCCAGAAGTCGATGTTCTTGTAAGAGAAGAGAAGAGGGAGGTTGGATGATGGTCGCAACAGCCGTTAGCGCGTGTCTCCTGAGCGCGCCTGATTCCATCCGCACCACTGCTCGTTTCTCCTTTCAAATTCGCAGCTCGCATTTTACTGATTCCGATCCTCAAGCACCGCTCGGTTTCACTCTATAAATTACCCCACACACCCGTTGTTATCGCGCTTCACGCCACACACCGGCCTCTTTACGCTTCTGCATACCCCTGCACACACCTATATTCCTGCTTCCACGCCGCCACACCGCGGCGCTGCTCTTACGCGCTTTCATACCCTCAACAGGCCATATCCCCTTCCCCCCCACAGCCGCTCTCTTACCGCTTTCCAATACCCTCACACGCCATATTCCTCCTGCCCCCCACCGCTCTTACCCGCTTCCATACCCGCACACAAGCCATCATTCCCCTCCACCCCATGCCCTCTTACGCTGTTTTACCCTCACACAGCCATATTCCCCTTCCACCCCACACCCGCTCTTTACCGCTTCCATTACCCTCACACAGCCATATTCTCCTTCCACCCCACGCCCGCTCTTTGGCACTTCCCTGCACCGCCCCCTTACTACTTCTATTTCCCCACTATTACTGCTTCCAATATCCATTCCCCAGCACACACCTCCCTTGCCGCTTCTGCTCCCCCTTAATCACCAGGCGTTACTGGAAACTAGTTTCACGTTCTGAACCGAGTTATTGACTTGACCCAGTGTATGAGTGAGCGAGAGAAAATGGTGTGGGGGTGTAGAGAGAGTACGAGCAAATATCGATTATAGGTACGTTCACGCATCGCGGCACGAGTGTGTAACGTACCGGTACGCCCGATGACGTGATGGCGTATTACGTGGGAGTAGTAGTACTAGTAGCGCTGTGAATGATTGGCAGCGCTGTGATTGATTGGCAGCGCATGATTTGATCGCGTAGATCTGGCGATGCTGCGCGCCGCGCGGCTGGCTGTCCGTCGTCATTTACGATCGGCTGTAAATATTTGTTCAGTCCTCGCTCGTCGGCGCTCTCGCACGGAATGCAAAGTTGCGGCGAGCACGCAGGTGGTCGGCGTGCGCGCATCTACGTTACGAGTCTGTTAGGAGTGCAGACGACGTGCCGACAAACCCCTGATCAGCAGTAAACAAATGAGACAGCGCGATCGCAGGCGCAGAGTAAAAGCTGGGGCAAGAAGGGAGGGAATGAGCAGGTGCTGATTAAAATATTTGGATAGTGAGGGAGGAAGGGGAGGGAGCGAGTGAGGGAGGGGATGCGCAAACTTTAAATAAAAGCTGGGCCACTGTCGGAGGGAGGGACAATAAGACGACCCTAACTAAAAGCTAGGCCCTAGCTTTCAGTTAGGGTCATTTTATTCTCCATCCCTAGCTGCTAGTGCTATGATGTAGGGAGAGAGAATGGGCAGGCACTAAGTAAAGCTGGGGTAGTCCGTAGTGACGGCGAGAGGGAGAATAGACATGCCGTAAATAAAAGTTGGGCTGGGAGCGAAAATCAACAGGCCCTAATTATAAAAACCGGGACAGAGTGTGGAATTTAGGACCTTAAATCAAAGCTGGGACAGAGAAGGGTAATGCACGGGCCTTAAATAAAAGCTGGGACATAGAAGTAGAAATGCTTATGTAAGTGGGGGTAGTGTGGTTTTTGCTGCCTCTATGAAATCCACAATATGCGCATCTACACGCTAATTTCTCCAGTACTAGACTAGCAAATACTTCGTGACAAGTTGTGACAAAATAAACTCTAGTTCCTCCCATTTCACTGCGTGTTTGCTTAAAACCGACAAGAAAGAGGTGCGAAATCAGGTAATCTGGCGCCAATGCCGAATTGTTTGCCAAGCAATTTCGCCCCGAATCGGTTAGGCGACGTCACATGTTGCTACGGGTGTTGAGCAGAGAATATAGTCGTTTACATTTTAAGATAGTTGTAGTATTGTGAACTGCAGTGTATGTAACATCAATGCCTATTGGGAAAGTAATAATAGGCAGCGTAATAAACTCCGAGAATAACGTATTAATTTTAGGCTTGATATCGTCAACGATAACATGTCATTGCGCTAGCAGCGTGCGAGCGAAAAACGCACACGGGCCGTAGAAATCTTTGCTACACCCGCTGTACGGTTGCTTGGCAGAGCAACGCGAAAGTGTCAACAACATCGGAGAATTTGAACAATATTGGAGGTATTTTCAAATACCTTTTATAAGACAACGCACAGTGAAATGGGAGGAACTAGAGTTTATTTTGTCATAAGGTAGTATGATTATGCATGGCACGAAGTATTTGCTAGTCTAGTACTGGAGAAATTAGCG